AACGTTGCTTTTTTAAAAGATATTTGTGTCTGTGCATCATGTGTGCAGGAGCACACAGAGGCCAGAAGAGGGCACTAAATCCCCTGGAACTGGAGTTACAGACAGTTGTGAGCTGCCATGTGTGTGCTGGGAACTGCACTCTGATCCTCTGCCAGAGCACTAAGTGCTCCTAACTGGTGAGCCATCTCTCCAGCCCATGAACTATTTCAACAAATTCCTCTTCTCCATAGTGTTCAAAACAATTTGTGTTGTATTTCCCTGTTTTGAGGTGTGTCTATGTGTGTGACACATGTGAGCATATGACAATGTCAGGTATCTCCCCTTCCTGAAGCAGGGTCCTTCACCAAACCTGGAGCACAGTGACTGAGCTATTCTAGCTAGCCACCTTGTTCTTAGGAGCCTTTGTCTCTGCCTTCCAAGGATTGGGATTACGGGTGGGCTGTCATGTCCACCACACAGTTATGTGGGGCTGGGAATCCAAACTCTAGTCCTCTTACTTGGCAAGGAAATGTTTAACCCCTGAGACACTGCCCTGGCCATATTTCTATAGTTCCTAAAAACCATACCAAGGTGAGTCTGGAAGGTGACAGTCTTAAGGTAGTCCTGCCCGGCCTGGAACTCATTATGTAGACCAAGCTAACCTCTGCCTGCCCCTGTTTCCTGGGTGATGGAATCAAAGGTATATGCCGCCACCAGCAGCTTATTTGTTTTTAGAAAGAGGTTTTCATGTAGCCCAGTCTGAAGATATGTCTGTATGACCAGTCTTACTCACATATATATATTTGGCTGGCTGGCTTTTAACTCCTAACCCTCTCGCCTCCTCACTTACATATCACTACACCCAACTGGAAACATTCTTTATTGGGAACATAGGCATCTTTCAGGACTGGGGACAATGGACCATTGTCCACCTTTCCAACTTTCTATATTTTCTACATTATTTCATGGAAGATATTACTTTTTATTTGGAAAGAATAAAACCAAATAAACAAGTGGTCACTATGGTGAGAAGATGGGGTGTGAGCTTCATTATCTAGCCTCCCCCTAGGCCCAGTGTCCTGCTACGCCCATGGTCCGACAGCTAGCCACTAGGAACCCTGCCCAGGCTGTTTGAGACGAACACTCAGCACCGCCGGCTGACTCCAGATCACACTGGATTCCAAATTTAGAAGCCTGGCAACCTCTGAATGTCACTGGGCTTGGGTTTTTCTTTCCCCTTCCCCTGGTCAGCCACATTGCATGCACACTTGCATAAGCACACAGCAGATATACATGTCTGGGTTGCTGGGATCCACACGGCAGGGAGCAAGTGTGTAGGGAACTCAACCGTGCCCCTGAGAGGCAGGCCAAGCCCTCAGCAGATGGAGCAATTGTCATCTCCTCTCCAAAGGATACTGGTGCTTGGAGCCTGTTCCCGCAGGGCAGATCTCAGTCATGGTTCCAAAACAAAGACTGCATTCTAGAAGGGACACGGGGCACCTCCTCAGTGATGTACAGACGAGACGTGTCCCTTGCTGATTATGACGCAGTACACACTCACAACCCAGAAGACTGGCACATGGTGTGACCGGCTCCTGGAATACCTGTTCCCTTTTCCCAGCCCACCAACTGCTTGAAGGCGGGACCTGGGCAGCTGCAACAAGCCAGGAGGGTTTTGGCCCTGTTCCTATCATTAGTCAACTACTGGTTCTCAGCATCCCTTCAGCTGAGCCCCACCTTCCGTGACTCCAGTTCTGATATCCTCTTCTGGCTTCTGAGGGTACCAAGCAGACATGTAATGCACACACATACATGCAGACAAACCACACATAAGTGAACCTTTGGCCTGTTCTCTGAAACAAAGCTGATCAATAGCTGCTCTCTACCTTTGTCTTTTAGAGGAGTGTGACAATAGGTAGGAAACACATGGCACTTGGTAGTGTATAATCACTACAGAAGTATTTGTGCATACGCAATACTACATAAACGTATGTATACATACTTACGCCTATTTATACATGCATATGTATTTACACACATTGTATTGAAGCAGTAGCTGCAAAAGGCAAGAAAGGATGTCTCTTAGGGCTGAGTCTTCCTTGGGTGGGTGTTAGTAGCAGACGCACAGCGAGATATCTGAGGAACTTAAACCATTCCCCACCAAGTCCTTCCATTGCTGTTCCCAGAGTCATGGTTCTCATGAGCCCATCACCAGGAGTAACAGCGGCCCTCATAGCCTATCCTCCACCAGGGGCCACATGTTTTTTATCCCTTTTATAGTTACTGTCATCCCACTCATTTTGTTCTTCCTTCAACAAGTAGTTATTAAAATACCTACTGCGTGCCAGGCACTGTACCAGTGCTGGAACAGGATGGCAATTGGAAGAGGGAGGCTAAAGCCTGAGGTGGGGGAGAGAGACAAGCAGTCATCAGGGGTCAGATGGAAATGGGAGGGAGATAGCTGATAGAACAAATGAATGATGAATAAATGAATGGCCAATTAACAGCTATATGACCCTCCCTCTGATCCAGCCTACCATGGTGCAGCCTAGAAAGCCATCACTTAGTACAGCTTTGCTTATGTCACCTCCCTACCCCAAACTTCCAGTGGTAGTGTTCTAACTGTAGCTTGATGGCCCTCTAATTTTCCTTTCTGTGATGCTAGGGACATGAGTGCTCTCTGTGCTGTCCCTCCAGTCCTGCCTGCAGGTTGCACGTGCTCTGCTTCCAGCCCAGCTCCCTGTTCTGCATTTCCTCCCCATCTAAGGGATAACCCATTCACTATATGTGTTTATATTACCTGTTTAGAAAGTTCACCCTAACTTCTAAAGCTAAAATTTTGTTTATCTGAGAGACAAGAACACTAGAGGCTTAGAGGAGGTGGCCTAGAAGAACCAGGGCTGGTGTGGACGCATAGGCACATAAAGGTTTTCCTACTTGCTTTTGGTCATGGTGTTTCATCACAGCAATAGTAACCAACCCTGACTAAGACAAGAGCCATCCCCTGTTGTGACATTCTTTACAAATGTGAAAGTAGGGATGGACATGGAGGCATTCACCTACAAGCCCAACACTCAGGCTGAGGCAAGGAGGACCAAGAGTGCAAAGCTAGCTTGAGTTACATAACCAAGGTTTTGCCTCTCCACAACCAACCAAACAAGCAACAACAACAACAACAACAACCCACACAGACATGCCTATAACCCCAGAGCTCAAAAGGGTGAGGTAAAAAGATTGCTGTGAGTTTGAGCTCCATAGTGAGCTCCGCTGCAGCCTGACTCCGAAAGGAAAAAGGGGAAAGGGGCAATGGACGAAACAGAGAACAAAGAGCCCCAAACTGTTTCTGTATTCACCACAGCCTGTCTGGTGCAGACTGTAACAGTTCAGGCCGGCAGACTGGCCAGCTTGACATGCCTATTTAGTTTTGGTCTGTGTGAGTCCTTGCTAGTACTGGCTCAGTGAGTGTTAGGAACAGAGGGGAGGGGCTGGCCTAGAGTGAGTTCAGATAGCAAAAATGAGAGTTCTTAGGTGTGACATAAAGGTCCATTCCTGGTTTGCCACTGCTTTTAACCATGAGTACCGAAGCTGCAAAGAAGCCCATGGAAGCCTCCTGGCTGCCAGCAAATCTCTCTCCTTGCTCTAAAAGAAAGCCTGCAGCCCGGACCTCCTTATCTCTTTCCTGGGCGCACCAAATCACCACTTTGTCAGAACTGAACCAAAGACATGGCAGTACCCCTAAGCTCCCTGCCCATCATCGCAGGGCTCGGGTAAGTGGCTTTCTGAAGTACTTGGGACCCTGTGTGGATGACCTCCTCATTGTAACTTGCCAGTCATCTTAGGTTCTGTATCTCTCCCCAGAGTCTTTGAGAACAGACCTGAGCATATCCAAGGCTGAGCTTCTACCTGTTCTCCAGGGCTTCTGCCTCAGCTCATCTCCCTTACGCACATGTAACCCTCCCGAAGTGCTCCAGAGTCTAAGCACGACTGATCTCCTCTGCCTGACCTCTACCGCCATGCTGGGGACTTCCATTTGGTTAGTTCCTGGCCACATGGGGCTCCTGTCCGGCACTCTCACCGTCCACCTGGTCCTTCTGCTCCAGTCACCTGCTGATTTCCCAGCAAAGTTCACAGCAATCCAAAGCACTTCTTTGTCTTCAGCAGCCTGAGCTGCTCCCTGTGCTTTGCCTCCCGCTGGTTCCTGATGTTGCAGGCCGATGCAGCTGTACTCTGGGTTTCCCTGCAGCTTGCTTCTCTTTCCAGGGTCTTTCCATCAGCTTCTATTACTCCCCCCTAGCCTCCCTCAAGACTCAGGCCGTAGGGCCTCTGGGAAGGTGTCTAAGAGTCAGGCTACCTTCCTGAACACCTTCGTGTATTGTGTGTGTATATTCACGTGTTTGCACATGTGTGTGGAGGCCAGAGAACCTCAGACATCACCTGCCTTCATTTTGTTTTTGTCTCACTCTGTATCCTTGGCTGGCCTGGAGCTCTCTACATAAAAACCAGGCTGGTCCTGAATTCAGAAGTCTCTTCGTCCTGAGTGCTGAGATTAAAGGTGTGTGCCACAATGACCAGCCACCTTGTTTTTTTGAGACAGGGTCTCTCACTGGCCTGAAACTTGCCAAGTAAACTAGGCAGACTGTGTAATGAGCCCCTGGAATCTGTTTCTGCCTTCTCAGCACTGAAATTACTGATATATACTAAGCCTGGCTTTTAAATTTTTCACGTGTGTGTGTGTGTGTGTGTGTGTCTACACCAACACTGGAGAATGAGCCCAGCGCTTTGAACGTGCTGGGCGAGCACTCTACCACTAAGCCACACTCCCACTCCTCAAATATTCTACCACAGGTCCACACACCAAACTAGACTCTAATTTTGCATTAACAAGCACATCCACCTTTTCGGCGGGTCTTTGGGAAGCTAAGGAAGGAAGAGGTTTACTGTGCTCGAGGGGAGGGGCCCATCACAAAGGAACCTGGAAGTGCGGAAAGGTCATGATCACAAAGCCAACAGCAAGGACAAATGCTAAATGATGTCATTTTGGTTCAATATTCCAATAACTGAAGTTTACAGTGTTGTTCCACCCAGACCCTGGGCTCCTCGTGGATTTAGGAATCTACCTAGTACATGCTGTGTATCTGCAGGATGCTATTTGGGCTTCTTCCTGGATCATGTGATAATATCTGTACTTTTGAGAGACACAAAAGATGCAGGTTCTCAGCAGTCAAGAATTAAACTGAAGTCAATAAAATGCTGAACAGAAAAGGCAGAAGTCTCTGTGTGAGCCACGTCTGCCCTCAGATCTTTCTAGGGGATGTGGATTTTCAGGATGGGAGATACACAACACAACAGACGTTTGAAGACGCCTTCGGAGAGTAAGTGAAATCTGACGACTCGAGGGCTTAAAATATAGAGCAGAAAGAAGAAAGGAGTGTACGGAGCTCATGGGACCCTGAAGGGAAACGAGAGCAGGGAGTCTGTTGTGTCCCTTTCATCCACAAACATTTCAAAGCATGACGCTGGCGGCAGCAAAACTGCGTCGTGAAGGTACCAGAGCGCCGTGTCTTCTCCAGCCGGGGAGTCAGACAGGGAATGGCCTCTCACAGCACCGACAACTTTCAGAATCATCGCCGATCTTCCAGAGCAGGAGAGTTGGGGGTGGGGAAAGGAGAGGAACTAGGCTCCTTCCACGACCTTCCATGAAAATGGAAAACACGAGCCTTCAAAATTTTCCCGTGTCTTGAACCGAAACTTGAAGGGGACTGTTTGGAGCGCACACGGCGCCGGACCTTACCCAGCAGGGATTACTATGCACACCGAGGAGGAGCCAAGGAATGGAGGACCACCGCGGGCTACCGAGAGCCAGGAAGGAGACGCGGGGTGTGTAGCGGTCCGAGCCCAGAGCCTCGGGGTGGGCAGGTCGCGTGCGCGGCGCGGCGGAGTGCGGGAGCTGCGGGGGTTGCAGGCCTCCCCGGGGGGGGGGGGGGGCGTTTGGCGGCCGGGATTGTTTGGCTCGCAGCGGGGCACTCCCGGGGGAGCCGCCGAAAGAAGGAGGGGGCAAGGAGGCAGCTGCCAGGAGCGCGCAGCGAGCTTGTAGGCCGCGGCCCGCGCACGTACGTGTGTACACCGTGGGGAGGTGCAGGGCGTGTGCACGGCACGGGCCGGACGCGCGCCGGTGCGTGTGCCAGGTTTCTGGGCGCCGCACGCAGAGGGCCAGCGCCGCCGGGCGAAAACGCCGCGCCAAGCCGGGACGCCGCGGGGCGCAGGACCGGAGAAGCTGGCGGCCGCGTAGAACTGAGGCTGCGCCCCTTCGGTGGGCACGCTAGCGCGGAGCCACAGTGCCCAGAAGCCGGAGGGCCGGCGGCCACGGGGAGCGTTCCGCACGGCTCTACGCACTGACCGGGAAGGAGGGCCAGCTCCGAGACGAGCGCGCGTCCGACGCGCGTACAGAGCGCGCAGCTCGCACCCCCGCGCGCTCCCCGCGCGGACTGGGCCACCACAGCGCGGGCGGGTATTAAGGGCGAAAAAGGAGGCGTGGTCTTTCCGGGACGAACCAATGGGCTCTGCAGTGGTGCCTGGAGGCGGAGCTCAGAATCAGGGTGCTGATTGGCCATCTTGCCCTCCGGTATGCAGATACGGTGGGAGTCACGTGCCGGGGGGCCGGTACGACTTCCTGTTGGAGGCCCACGCGGGGCGGGGCCGAGGGCGCGAGCGCCGCGTCTGGCTGGAGCGGGGGGAGGGGGGTTCTTGTCAGTTAGAGCAACAAGATGGCCGCGGTGGCAGCTCCGCACCTCAGCGCGACGGCCCCGGGAGCCTCAGCCGCCGTCGCCGTCCGCGTCGCCTTGCAGCCCTGAGAGCCGCCGGGCCGCCCCGGCCGCCCCCGTGACAGGCCGTTCCCGCGCCGTCGCGCTCCCGCCGCCGCCGCCGCGGGCCCGCCCGAGCCGGAGCCGGAGCCGGAGCCTGAGGCGGAGGGAGCGGAGCGGCTCCGCGCCCAGCCGCCCGCCGCCGTCGCCGCCTCCTACCCGGGCTGCGTCCCGAGCCGCGGCCCGCCGACACCGAGGAGCGGGGCGCGTCGCGGCGTCGCGGGCACTGGACCTGGACCTGCCGGGACGTGCCGCCGCCCACCCGCCGCCCGCGCCCGGACTCGATCCCGCGGCGCCGGCGCTGAGCGGGCCCCCGCCGCCG